GGGAACCTGATGGGGGGAACCTGATGGGGGACCTGATGGGGAACCTGATGGGGAACCTGATGGGGGGAACCTGATGGGGTGGGGAGCCTGATGGGGAACCTGATGGGGAACCTGATGGGGAACCTGATGGGGAACCTGATGGGGAACCTGATGGGGAACCTGATGGGGAACCTGATGGGGAACCTGATGGGGAACCTGATGGGGAACCTGATGGGGAACCTGATGGGGAACCTGATGGGGAACCTGATGGGGAGCCGGATGGGGAACCTGATGGGGAGCCTGATGGGGAACCTGATGGGGAACCTGATGGGGAACCTGATGGGGAACCTGATGGGGAACCTGATGGGGAACCTGATGGGGAACCTGATGGGGAACCTGATGGGGAACCTGATGGGGAACCTGATGGGGAACCTGATGGGGAACCTGATGGGAACCTGATGGGAACCTGATGGGGAACCTGATGGGGAACCTGATGGGGAACCGGGTGGGGAACCTGATGGGGAACCTGATGGGGAACCTGATGGGGAACCTGATGGGGAACCTGATGGGGTGGGGAACCTGATGGGGAGCCTGATGGGGAACCTGATGGGGAACCTGATGGGGTGGGGAACCTGATGGGGAACCTGATGGGGAACCTGATGGGGAACCTGATGGGGAACCTGATGGGGAACCTGATGGGGGGAACCTGATGGGGAACCTGATGGGGAACCTGATGGGGAACCTGATGGGGTGGAACTGATGGGAAACTGATGGGGAACCTGATGGGGAACCTGATGGGGAACCTGATGGGGAACCTGATGGGGAACCTGATGGGGAACCTGATGGGGAACCTGATGGGGAACCTGATGGGGGGGAACCTGATGGGGAACCTGATGGGGTGGGGAAACTGATGGGGGAACCTGATTGGGGAACCTGAGTGGGGAACCTGATGGGGGAACCTGATGGGGTGGGGAACCTGATGGGGAACCTGATGGGGTGGGAAACTGATGGGGAACCTGATGGGGAACCTGATGGGGAACCTGATAGGGGAACCTGATGGGGGAAACTGATGGGGGGAACCTGATGGGGAACCTGATGGAGAACCTGATGGGGAACCTGATGGGGGGGAACCTGATGGGGTGGGGAACCTGATGGGGAACCGGGTGGGGGAACCTGATGGGGAACCTGATGGGGAACCTGATGGGGGAACCTGATGGGGAACCTGATGGGGAACCTGATGGGGAACTGATGGGGAACCTGATGGGGAACCTGATGGGGAGCCTGATGGGGAACCTGATGGGGAACCTGATGGGAAACCTGATGGGGAACCTGATGGGGAACCTGATGGGGAACCTGATGGGGAACCTGATGGGGAACCTGATGGGGTGGGAACCTGATGGGGTGGGGAAACTGAGGGGAACCTGATGGGGAACCCTGATAGGGGAACCTGATGGGTGAACCTGATGGGGAACCTGATGGGGGAACCTGATGGGGAACCTGATGGGGAACCTGATGGGGGGAACCTGATAGGGGAACCTGATGGGGAACCTGGTGGGGAACCTGATGGGGGGAACCTGATGGGGTGGGGAACCTGATGGGGAACCTGATGGGGAACCTGATGGGGAACCTGATGGGGAACCTGATGGGGAACCTGATGGGGAACCTGATGGGGAACCTGATGGGGAACCTGATGGGGAACCTGATGGGGAACCTGATGGGGACCTGATGGGGAACCTGATGGGAACCTGATGGGAACCTGATGGGGAACCTGATGGGGAACCTGATGGGGAACCGGGTGGGGAACCTGATGGGGAACCTGATGGGGAACCTGATGGAGAACCTGATGGGGAACCTGATGGGGTGGGGAACCTGATGGGGAGCCTGATGGGGAACCTGATGGGGAACCTGATGGGGTGGGGAACCTGATGGGGAACCTGATGGGGAACCTGATAGGGGAACCTGATGGGGAACCTGATGGGGAACCTGATGGGGGGAACCTGATGGGGAACCTGATGGGGAACCTGATGGGGTGGGAAACTGATGGGAAACTGATGGGGAACCTGATGGGGAACCTGATGGGGAACCTGATGGGGAACCTGATGGGGAACCTGATGGGAACCTGATGGGGAACCTGATGGGGAACCTGATGGGTGGGGAACCTGATGGGGAACCTGATGGGGAACCTGATGGGTGGGGAAACTGATGGGGGGAACCTGATGGGGAACCTGATGGGGAACCTGATGGGGGGAACCTGATGGGGTGGGGAACCTGATGGGGAACCTGATGGGGTGGGGAAACTGATGGGGAACCTGATGGGGAACCTGATGGGGAACCTGATAGGGGAACCTGATGGGGGGAAACTGATGGGGGGAACCTGATGGGGAACCTGATGGAGAACCTGATGGGGAACCTGATGGGGGGAACCTGATGGGGTGGGGAACCTGATGGGGAACCGGGTGGGGAACCTGATGGGGAACCTGATGGGGAACCTGATGGGGAACCTGATGGGGAACCTGATGGGGAACCTGATGGGGAACCTGATGGGGAACCTGATGGGGAACCTGATGGGGAGCCTGATGGGGAACCTGATGGGGAACCTGATGGGAAACCTGATGGGGAACCTGATGGGGAACCTGATGGGGAACCTGATGGGGAACCTGATGGGGAACCTGATGGGGAACCTGATGGGGAACCTGATGGGGAACCTGATGGGGAACCTGATGGGGTGGGGAAACTGATGGGGAACCTGATGGGGAACCTGATGGGGAACCTGATAGGTGAACCTGATGAGGGGAACCTGATGGGGGGAACCTGATGGGGAACCTGATGGGGAACCTGATGGGGGGAACCTGATAGGGGAACCTGATGGGGAACCGGGTGGGGAACCTGATGGGGGGAACCTGATGGGGTGGGGAACCTGATGGGGAACCGGGTGGGGAACCTGATGGGGAACCTGATGGGGAACCTGATGGGGAACCTGATGGGGAACCTGATGGGGAACCTGATGGGGAACCTGATGGGGAACCTGATGGGGAACCTGATGGGGAAACTGATGGGGAAACTGATGGGGAACCTGATGGAGAACCTGATGGGGAACCTGATGGGGGGAACCTGATGGGGTGGGGAACCTGATGGGGAACCTGATGGGGGGAACCTGATGGGGTGGGGAACCTGATGGGGAACCTGATGGGGAACCTGATGGGGAACCTGATGGGGAACCTGATGGGGAACCTGATGGGGTGGGGAACCTGATGGGGAACCTGATGGGGAACCTGATGGGGAACCTGATAGGGGAAACTGATGGGGGGAACCTGATGGGGGGAACCTGATGGGGGGAACCTGATGGGGAACCTGATGGGGGGAACCTGATGGGGGGAACCTGATGGGGAACCTGATGGGGAACCTGATGGGGTGGGGAACCTGATGGGGAACCGGGTGGGGAACGGGGTGGGGAACCTGAAGGGGAACCGGGTGGGGAACCGGGTGGGGAACCTGAAGGGGAACCTGATGGGGAACCTGATGGGGAACCTGATGGGGAACCTGATAGGTGAACCTGATGAGGAACCTGATGGGGAACCTGATGGGGAACCTGATGGGGAACCTGATGGGGAACCTGATGGGGTGGGGAACCTGATGGGGAACCTGATGGGGAACCTGATGGGGAACCTGATGGGGAACCTGATGGGGAACCTGATGGGGAACCTAATGGGGTGGGGAACTTGATGGGGATCAGCATCAGCATCAGCATCAGCATCAGCATCAGCAGCAGCATCAGCAGCAGCATCAGCATCAGCATCAGCATCAGGATAAGCATCAGCATCAGCATCAGCATCAGCATCAGCATCAGCATAAGCATCAGCATCAGCATCAGCATCAGCATCAGCAGCAGCATCAGCAGCAGCATCAGCATCAGCATCAGCATCAGCATCAGCATCATCAGCATCAGCATCTGCATCAGCATCAGGATAAGCATCAGCATCAGTATCAGCATCAGCATCAGCATCAGCATCAGCATCAGCATCAGCATCAGCAGCAGCAGCAGCAGCAGCAGCAGCAGCAGCAGCAGCAGCAGCAGCAGCAGCAGCAGCAGCAGCAGCAGCAGCAGCATCAGGATCAGCATCAGCATCAGCATCAGCATCAGCATCAGCATCAGCATCAGCAGCAGCATCAGCAGCAGCATCAGCATCAGCATCAGGATAAGCATCAGCATCAGCATCAGCATCAGCATCAGCATCAGCAGCAGCATCAGCATCAGCATCAGCATCAGCATCAGCAGCAGCAGCAGCAGCAGCAGCAGCAGCAGCAGCAGCAGCAGCATCAGGATCAGCATCAGCATCAGCATCAGCATCAGCATCAGCAGCAGCATCAGCAGCAGCATCAGCATCAGCATCAGCAGCAGCATCAGCAGCAGCATCAGCATCAGCATCAGCATCAGCATCAGCAAAGCCCATTCGTGCCACTCGCTCCTTGCTGCTGACAGCACAGAACGCACCATAGGCCCTGCACGCACCAATGCCCACCAGCACGCAGCACCCAGCAGCACCCACCAGCACCCATCAGCACCCATCAGCACCCATCAGCACCCACCAGCACCCATCAGCACCAATCAGCACCCATCAGCACCCATCAGCACCCATCAGCACCCAGCAGCACCAACACCCACTTACCAGCAAAGCCCATTCGTGCCACTCGCTGCTTGCTGCTGGCAGCACAGTACGCAACCGCATACACCATGGGACCATGGGACCTCAAACCTGCACCTCAAACCTGCACCTCAAACCTGCACCTCAAACCTGCACCTCAAACCTGCACCTCAAACCTGCACCTCAAACCTGCACCTCAAACCTGCACGTCAAACCTGCACCTCAAACCTGCACCTCAAACCTGCACCTCAAACCTGCACCTCAAACCTGCACCCCAAACCTGCACACCAAACCTGCACCTCAAACCTGCACCTCAAACCTGCACCTCAAACCTGCACCTCAAACCTGCACCTCAAACCTGCACCTCAAACCTGCACCTCAAACCTGCACCCAGCAGAACCCACCAACACCCAGCACCCACCAGCACCAGCACTTACCAGCAAAGCCCATTCGCGCCACTCGCTCCTTGCTGCTGGCAGCACAAAACGCAACCGCATACACCATGGGACCTGTGTGAACACAGCAGAGGGGAAGGGGGGGAGTGAAGAGAGAGGGGAGAGGTGGGCCTTTTGAGTCGACTCACATGTCACCTCCTTGCTGCTGGCAGCACAGAACGCAACCGCATACACCATGGGCCATGTGTGAACACAGCAGAGGGGAAGTGAGGGGGGAGAAGAGAGGGAGGAGAGGGAGGGGGGAGAAGGGGGCCCGTTGAGTCGACCTGCTTGCTGGCAGCACGGAACGCAACCGCATACACCATGGGCCCTGCACGCACAGCACAGCACCGCGGGGGGAGGGGGCTGTGAACATCAGCAGCAGCGCAGTAGCACAGTACGCAACCGCATACACCATGGGCCCTGCACGCCCAGCACGGGGGGGAGAGGGGGGAAGTGAAGAGAGGGGGGTGAGGGGGGAGGAGAGCGAATGCTGGCGGCAACTTGGCAGCACAGTACGCACACACATACACCATGGGCCCTGCACGCTCAGCACAGGGGAGAGAGGGGAGCGAAGAGAGGAGGGAGAGGGGCCCCTTTGAGTCGACTCAGCTGTCACCTCCTTGCTGCTGGCAGCACTCAAAGCCTCCAACTCAGAGGGGCCCTTTTGAGTCACCTCAGCTGTCACCTCCTTGCCGCATACACCATGGGGTCTGCGCTCACAGCACAGCAGGGAAGGAGGAAAAGAGAGGGGAAGTGGGGGTGGGGGGGCTTTGAGCGGACACATAGGCCACTTGCACGCGCACGCGTACACCATGCGCCCTGCGCGCACAGCACGGGGTAGCGGAGGGAGGATGAATGGAGAGCGAACGGGAGAGATGGCGGCAGTGTGCGAGTGGGGAGGAATGGGACGGGGCGATGCATTCCCGCGATTGTGGCAAGCATTCCCGCGGGCAAAGGTAAAAAACGGAGCATACTGCGACGGACAACGGGGCGAGGCATTACCGAGTACGGGGCCTCGGCCCGCCTCGTCGATCCCCATAATGCACGGCGCGGACCGCCACGCCATGACCGGGAGTAAAACGAGGAGAGCGCGGGGGATCGAACAAGCGCGAGGAAAGCGAGATAGCGCGAGAGGGAGGGAAAGCGAGCGCGAGGGGACAATGCGCGGAGGAGAGACGCGAGGTTGAATGTGAGAATGGATGCGCGTGGTATGCGATTTTTTTTATGCCATGTAAGGTTAAATGGAAACGAGGCGGAGGCGAAACGGGTGATCACGACAAGTCGGCTCGGCACGGATGGAGGTAGGCCGCAGCGGAGAGAAGGAAGGAGAATGGAGACGAAAGGGTGCGGAAAACGAGGGAAAACGTCAAAGAGAGTGACGGCTGTGGGATTTGAACCCACGCCTCTTTCGAGATTGGAGCCTAAATCCAACGCCTTAGACCACTCGGCCAAACCGTCGCGTCGACTGTTTATCTTGATTTTTTAATTCGAAAGTCTGTCACGGCAGGCACGCTGACGTTTTGCCTACGCTGTTGACGAATCTACAAATTGGAAAAATCATCTGCTTTGCTGCCATAGAATCTTTGAAGACATCCGCTCCCATAGAATCTTTGTAGACATCCGCTCTGAACACTGGTAAAGACGGGCGCCTTCCGCTAATGAAGGAGTTCGCCTTGTGCGGCGTGTGCCGGCTGTCGCACGATCAGGGCCGACCGCACATCTACACCAAGCGACACACGACGGCGCTTGCGACGCTTCTCGATAAGGAGCTTCGTCGCATGACCGCCCTTGCGACGTGGCTCGAGTCGCACAGTCGGTCGCTGGCGTCTACGCAAGAGCAAAGCGCGCCGATAGCGGCGGGGATAGCCGCGCAGGGCGGCGCGGACGAGAGGCGGAATGGTGCCTGCAGCCGCGAGGAGCGCCGCGATTGGCGGCCCGCCGGATCTCTGTCAGGAACGCGCGGCGACGAGGGAACCGATAGAGCGAGTATTAATGGCGGCAGTGATGGCGGCGCGGGTGTCGCGTGCGAGGAGAGCCGGAAACGGAGCCGATGGTGCCGGTTTTGCGACGCTGAGGTGGCAGAGGATAGCGTGATCGGCGGATGGTGAGCAACTTCGCAGAAGTTTCGCCTCCCTCCTTCTTTCAGTCCCGTCCCGGCCGTGACTGCTACCTCCTCCGCCGCCTTCCCCAGCTATTCCCATCCAAGCTCCCACTAAAAAACGTCAGCTGTTTCCCAGCTATAACGTGGCCTCTTCCGCCTATCATCGCAAGTGAGAAGTCTTGTGCTCTCGCTTTAATGCGTACGCGGGTTCGCACTCTCTCTCTTCCCCGCCCGTGCATGTTACGCGTGCTAGGAAGCAGTGGGTGCGCCACGTCAGCAGCGGGGACCACATGACATCAGTGAGGGCGTTTTGGGCGGCAAACTGCAGCGGCAGGGACGTCGTGGCTGCTGATACTGCTGCTCTCGCTGCCGCCCTCGCGGCCCGCCTTGCTGCTGCTGCTTCTGCCGCTTCTACGTCTGTTTCTGCTTCTGCTGTTTCTGCTGCTTGTGCTGTTAATAGCGACGGGTCGACTGTGCCTGCAGGGGGTGCTGCAGGGGATGCTGCAGCAGGTGGTGCTGCAAGGGATGTTACAGGGGACGCTGGCACCAAGCGACGAGCCAAGAAGCAAAGAGGGAGCAACCAAGGAGGTTTAGAGATTAAAGAGACCAAAGAGACCTGGCGGGCATTCGTGCTGCCCCCTGCCGTCGCCACTGCCACCGCCGCCACTGCTGCTGCTGCTGCTGCTGCTGCTCTGTCGTCTCCTTCTTCCCTTCCTGCTCCCCTGCTCTCCTCAATAACCCCATCGAATCAACCCCCCTGCCCGCCCCTCACTACCCTCCCACACACAAGCACCCCCTACCCTCCCACCCCCACCACTACCACCGCCAAACCCATCACCACACCACCGAACCCATCTGCACCACTGCTAAACCCTTTGACACCCCCCGAGGGCCTCTCCCTGGTCCCAGACTCCTTCTGCCCCATCCTCTGCCCGCCAATCACCAACGCCAAAATCTGGAAGTTTCGGGCGCAGCGCGTTGGGGCAGCCTGGGCAGAGCAGCGCCGGGCAGAAATAAAAGCGGCGGAAGCGGCTCGGAGTGTGGCCGCTGCCACTGCTGCTGCGCTGCGGTTTGCCCCTGCTGGCCCTCCGACCACGGGCAGGGGCCCTGAGGTCATAACATCATCTTCAACAGGTTCAGCTGAAGCTTCTGCTGCTGCTCCCACTGCTGCTGGTGCTGCTGCTGCTTCTGCTAGTGTGGTTGGTGAGCGCAGTGAGATCGACCAATCGAGCGTGTCCATGTGGCTTCCGAGCTTTGGGCGGGTGTGGCAGAGTGGCCCTAGGCAGGCCAGCAGGAGGGAGTTTGAGGCAGAGAGACGAGCGCAGAAGGGCAAACGCGCGCAGGAAAGGGCTTTAGATGCGCCTTTAAAGTCACAGAGCGGCCCTCGGCAGGCCAGCAGGAGGGAGTTTGACGCAGAGAGGCGAGCTCAGAGGGGCAGAGGCGGGCAGGAGAGGCAGCACAGGGGAGGGGAAGAAAAGTGGCACAAACAACGTGAAGAGCAGCAGCACGAGGGAGCGAGGGGAGGAGGGGAGGAGGGTGAAAAAAAGGAGGGTAACCACTGGGCTGAGCGGTCTGTAGGGACTGGAGGAGCAGTGGTCCAACTGATGATGCCGCATGCTGATCACCCCTTGCCGCCACAGCCCTCTCAGAGGCATGGTTTACCTTCAGGGCCTGTTGCTTCACCAAGGGGGGTGGTGGCTCTAGCGGGCTTTAATGATGCAGCTTCTGCCTTGCAAGCTTCTGCCTTGCAAGCGTCTGACTTGCGAGCTTCTGACTTGCGAGCTTCTGACTTGCGAGCTTCTGACTTGCGAGCTTCTGACTTGCGAGCTTCTGACTTGCGAGCTTCTGACTTGCAAGCTTCTGACTTGCAAGCTTCTGACTTGCAAGCTTCTGACTTGCAAGGTTCTGACTTGCACGCTTCTGACTTGCAAGCTTCTGACTTGCAAGCTTCTGACTTGCAAGGTTCTGACTTGCACGCTTCTGACTTGCAAGCTTCTGACTTGCAAGCTTCTGACTTGCAAGCTTCTGCCTTGCAAGCTTCTGCCTTGCGCGCTTCTGAGCTGAGGCCATACGTTCCAAAGCGCCTCAGGCGATGAGATTAGTGCATACCGTGTCCTTCCAAACAAAGCATCCGATCCTGAGGGCTCTAATAAGCAGCTTCTACCTTGCAAGCTTTTGAGCTGAGGAAGTACGTTCCAAAGCGACTCAGGCGACGAGATTAGTGCATACTGTGTCCTTCCTAACAATGTATTCGAGGGTGTTGTATGGGACACGTTTATGAAAAATGGGCGAATGGGTGGGGGTGGTGAACAATTTTGTATGGGGAATTTTTCAGTTGACACTTCTGTACAACACCAAACTCTTACTGTCGAGGTCGAGCCAAACCGAGGATCTCCCGCTTGCTCCGGGCGACGGACCGCCGATAATCGTCGCACCGTCACCGCCGAGCCGACTATCACAGAAGAAGACCAAAACCTCCTCAAATGGCATTCAATCAGAGGGGGCTTCAACCCTAGACACCACGAGGGGAGGTGTAGGGTTGAATTGATGCCTTGCCATGAGGCAAGATGTGGCTGATGTTCCTATGCTTTTTATGCATTTCTCCATGGGGTTATTGTTTTTTGCTATGAGCAACTAGCTTTCTTGGTGGAGTTGGTTGTTTGTGTTAGAATAAGCAGGCAGGAATGACTGTATTGAGAAGGAAGGGCAATACAAGTACGGTAGTCCTAACCCTATAGTGTTGTACCCCTTGTAGGCTAACCCACTATAGCCTAGAGATAACACAAACATACAGTTTGACACACCCCCATAGGCTAAGTGAGAGATAGCAAACACAACAGACGTTCACAAGACCAGTCAAGCAGGAGAACAAAGCAAAGCAAAGCTCAGGGTGGATCTCAAGGACACCACACAATCTGAGCACAAGCAAGCGGCCACAAGGCCAGTTCACATGCAGAGTTATAATAGCAAGGCAGTACACTGATCACAACCTAGCAAGAGTAAACATGCAGGTATAAATATATATATCAGTGTACAACAAGAGCAAGTCAAGCAACCAGCAGGTGAGGCAGAGTGGGCACAAGCCCAAGAGCAGTGCAGAAACGCTGATGATCACCAGACCCAAGGGCCTTGGTGAAGACATCAGCAGTGTTGGCCCGAGAGGCCACGTAAGCAAGACGCAGCTGACCACGCTGCTGCAGCTCACGCGCAAGGAAGTAGCGAAGAGCAATGTGCTTCGTTCTGTGCTCCAGTCTCTGCTCGCGACACAAGGCAAGCATTGCCTTGTTGTCGACGTACAGAACTGGCGGCCCCCCCAGCAGGTAGGTCAGCCATCGTAGCTCCTGTGCAGCCATGGCCCCAGCGCAGATCTCGGCCTCACAGCTGGAACCAAGCACAGAAGAAGAACGAGTGGACCTCCACGAGACAGAACCAGCGCCAAGACTGAAGGTGTAACCCTGTGACGAACGCTGAGTCGCTTGGTCGTCGGCCCAAGAAGCGTCAGAGTGTCCAGTGAGTACCACTGAAATCCGTCCTCCAAGCACGAGCCCCATGCCCGATGTACTGCACAAGTAACGCAGTACCCTCTTCACAGCATCAAAGTGCACCTTTCGGTGTCTACTGGGTGCCACGTAGCGAGCCAGGAGGCTGAGAGGGTACTCGAGGTCAGGTCGTGTGCACGTCATCAGATACATGAGGCAACCCACAAGCTCTGGGTACGGACCACTCGGCTCTACGGACTCGTCCAAAGGTGGAGCTGAGAGCGAGTGGCCGGTAGACAGAGGAGTGGGCTGTGGCGAGGACCACGTGAAGTCGAAGCGCTGAAGGACCTGGTGCACCATGTGTGACTGAGTGAGGGTGATGGTGCGTCGTGCTCTGTCCCGGGTGATCTGCAAGCCAAGATAGCTCCGCAGCTCACCCAGGTCAGTGCAGGTGTGTCTCTCCTGCAGCTCCGCCTTCACTAGGGCCAGTGCCTCAGTGTCAGCAGTAGCAAGAACCAAGTCGTCGACGTACACGAGGATGTAGAACGCCGGCAGAGTATTGTCGGTGCGTAGAAACAGCGACGGGTCAGCAGTCGAAGGAGCAAACCCAAGAGCCGCAAGTGTCGTCCTCAGTGTGTCGTGCCACTCGCGGGGCGCCTGACGCAGGCCGTACACTGGTCGCCATAGGCTCCACTGGGTACCCTCAGGAAACGACCTAGTGAAGCCCTCTGGACGGCGCAACCAGATAGCCTCGTGAAGGCTACCCTGCAAGAAAGCTGTCGAGAAGTCAAGGGAGTGCAGCTCGTAGTCACGCTGAGCTGCAACGTGTAGCAACACCCGAAGAGTGGTCATCTTCGGGGTGGGGGAGAAGGTCTGAAAGAAGTCGACCCCCACACGCTGACTAAAACTTCGAGCAACGTAACGTGCCTTGAAGGCAGGCGGAGAACCCGGCGGCCGCTTCACCCTGAAAATCCACATACCACTGACGATGTTCGCCCCAGGTGGGGGAACCTCGTCGACGTAGGTGTCTGTGGACTTCCATGAAGCCATCTCTGCGTCCATGGCTGTCTGCCACTGAGAGGAGTACTCACCCGAAATCGCCTCTCTGTAAGAGCGCGGGGTGGGGATGTCAAGTGCATCCGGGCCTCCCTCAAGGGCAAGCATCATGGTCGCGAGATGGGGTGCAGCGGCCGCAAGGCACTCCAGCTCCTCCTGTCTGTCCTCAAGAACGTCACAGCCAAGGGCAGTACAGCCAAGGGCAGTCTCACCCCCGACGGACGGAGGACAGGCAGGGCAGGGTCAGAAAAAAGACTCGCAAGGTAGTCTAGGCGGTACACAGCAGCAAAGTCAACGAGCTCAGCAACTAAGGCAGACGCAGCAGGAGACGAGAACGAAGGGTCAGTCACCACCGTAGCAAGAAAGCGAGTAACAGTCAGACTGGACGCACGAGCAAGGTCAGACGGAGGGTCAGCAACGTCAGGAAGAGAGGACGCAGGAGGTAACGGCAGGACAACACGCTGTGGAACAGAGGAAGGACGGAGTGTCATATCGTGAGTGCCCGGGACAGCCAGAGCACGCTGACGACGAACACGAGGAGCACGAGCACGGACAGCAGCTCTAGGCTCGGGCTCAAGGTCAAAGCTGGACTCAGGCTCTCGACGCTCAGGGGTGGAAGCACGAGTCTCAGGCTCTCGACGCTCAGTCAGGGACTGTGTCACCGTAGTGTAGGGAGCAGGAGCAGGCAGTGGGGAGTGCGGTAGCAGCTGCGGCTGTGACTGGTCTGCTGGTGGAAACAGTAACTGAGGAGTAGTACCTGCCACAGGGAAGTCAGTACCACCTGGCGGAAGACTGAGAAGGTGGCGAAGAGCACCAGCATCTCCCGTACCTCCAGCATGAGCAGCTCCACCAGCACTCCCAGCAGCACCTCCAGCACCAGTAGCACCAGCACCTCCAGCACCTCCAGCACCTCCAGCACCAGCAGCACCACGAGCTCCGGCAGCGCCAGCACCTCTAGCACCAGCAGTACCTCCAGCACCTCCAGTGCCAGCAGCTCCAGTAGCACCTCCAGCACCTCCAGCACCAGTAGTACCACCTGCTCCGGCAGCTCCAGCACCTCTAGTACGAGCACCTCCAGGACCAGCAGCTCCAGCACCTCCAGTACCTCCAGCTACAGCTCCAGCGCCTCCAGCACCAGCAGTACCTCCAGCACCAGCAGCACCACCTGCTCCGGCAGCTCCAGCACCTCTAGTACGAGCACCTCCAGGACCAGCAGCTCCAGCACCTCCAGTACCTCCAGCTCCAGCGCCTCCAGCACCAGCAGCACCAGCACCTCCAGGGTCAGTAGCGCCAATAGCACCTCCAACACGAGCAGCACCACCAGCTCCGGCAGCTCTAGTACCTCTAGTACGAGCACCTCCAGGACCAGCAGCTCCCGCAACTCCAGCACCAGTAGCACCAGCACCTCCTGTGCCAGCAGCTCCAGTACCCCCAGCACCTCCAGTACCAACAGTACCTCCAGCACCAGCAGCTCCAGTACCTCCAGCTCCAGTACCTCCAGTACTAGCAGCTCCAGTACCTCCAGCACCAGCAGCAGCTCTAGTACCTCCAACACCAGCAGTACCTCCAGCACCTCCAGCACCAGTAGCACCTCCAGTACCTCCAGGCCTAGCAGCTCCAGTACCACCAGCACCAGTAGCACCTCTAGAACCTCCAGCAGTACCTCCAGGCCTAGTAGCTCCAGTACCTCCAGCACCAGCAGCACCTCTAGTACCTCCAGCTCCAGGACCTCCAACAGGGTCACCCACAACTCCACCGCCACAAGGACTCGCAGCACCCCAAGAGTCAGCACCCCCAGTCGCAGCACCCCCAAAACCAGCACCCCCAGTCGCAGCACCCCCAGAACCAGCACCCCCAGGCACAGCACCCCCAGAACCCTCACCCTCTGTCTCAGCACCCCCAGTCTCAGCACCTGTAGTCTCAGCTCCAGAGTCCACAGCAGCAGGCTGCGGAGGCGGCGAAGACGGTCGAGGCGGAAAACCCGGGGGGGTCTCCAAGCGTGGAGAGCGGCGAGTGGCCGCCGTGTCGTCCGCAACTGGGTCACCCCCCTCAGCTGGGCCAGAGGAGTCAGAAGAGATCTCCACTGGCTCATCCAAGGGGGGTGGGTCGACTTGAGACACACCTGAGGGAGCAGGACCCTGTGGGGGGAGGGGGTCTACCGGGGGGGGGGACTGGTACCAGGAAGAGGGGTGCTAGGGGAACCGGGTGGGAGGCGTGCGGGTGTAACTGGTAGTAACAGACAGACTCGTCAAAGGTGACGTCCTGGGAGGAGAAGACTCGACGCGAGCGCGGGTGGTAGAACTGCCACGGCGGGGCGTCAGTAGGGAAGCCAAGGAAGACGCAGCGGAGAGGGCGAGAGGAGAGCTTGCTCGCTTTGGCATCGCGAACAAGGGAGAGCGCGCCCTAGACCCGAAACACTGACGCATCACCAGCCTTCCCCGTCCACCGGAGGGTGGGCGAGGTCTCTGGCACAGAGACACGAGGACAGAGGTTGAGCTGATGCGCAGCGTATCGGACCGCAAACGGCCACAGAAAGTGGGGAGCGGCCGCATGGATCAAGC